CCCCCCCCAAACCCCCCCCCCCCCCGCCCCCCCCCCCCCCATACGCGATCCAGGATATAGTGATTTCCTTCGGCGATCCACGTGTTCCTGTGTTCTGTTTTTTTCTTGTCCGCGTTGTCTTTTTCTTTTCTTGTTTTGTTCTTGTTCACTCTTATATACTTCTAATAACGAAATAGGGAAGGCTGTTACACGCGTCCCGACAACTGCGATCAACCCTCCTGTTTGTCGAATGGAACGGTGACAATTCAATTGCGAGCGTTGCCGCCCCGCGCGATTATTTGTATATTTGTAAATTGGTGCGAATAGATCGGACCAAGTTCAACGTACGTCTATATGTGTCTTTCATTTCCTTGCTCTCGACGAGCGTCGCGATTATAAGCGCTTCTCCGAGCATGATCCACGCGAACGATGCATACAAGATGCGTGCTCTCCGTATACGTTTCTGTGAAAATATCGCGTTTAGGAATATTACGCAGAGGTCCGCTAAAGCATTCGTGCACAAGTTGTATCGATTTCGATTCTCTTGCAAAAATTCTTCGTCGAAATTTCTTGGCTAAGAATTTTGCTTAGGTCACGTACGACGCTATTGCATGAAAATGTAAATTGACAAATTAATGAACTGTGTGCAGGGACACTTTCGTGGATAACTGTAAATTTGCGTCTCGACGAACTTCGATCACTCTTGTTCTCCGTTTCATCGACGGTGATCATTGTTCTTTTCTCTTTCTCCTTTGTTTCTTAAAACTTTACCTATCTGTGGAATCCATCAGTAGGCTTTTCAACGACTGTACTGCATGCAGAAAAAGTACTCGATACTTTCCTTCTGAATGACAAACGTTTCAGTTTCTCTCTCATTTTCGTGAAAATCATATCGTATTTATTTTGATCGTTATTGTCCATTTAATTCGCTTTACGGTGCGACGAACGATTTTCGACCTATAAAATCGCTGATAGATAAAGTGATAAGAAACAGCCTGTTTTATCTATGATTATCTTCTGTGCGCAGTTCTATAGTAACTCCCATATTCGATCCTGCGTTCTTTTCACGTGGCAATCGATTGTGAAAATTGTTATCGTTGCCTTCTCGCTTGTGTCTTAATTTTAGTGGGAACTTCGAGATTTTACGCGATGTTTGGACAAACAGATGCCTTTCTCGATCGAATATGAGAGTGGCCGTGCACTTATGGGAATCGAGACGTTTCCTAGTTGTCCCCATCGTGTCTCACTTCGATTGTAAGGCGAGGAAAAAGAAAAGAACCTTCTGTCATTTCGCTGTCTTATTTGTTTCGAGCGTATCAGCGACAGCAGATGTCGTGCTTTTATAATAGTGAATTCGTCGGGCGATTCATTCTTCGAAACGTGATTTAGATGATAATAATAATAATGATAATAACGATGCGATCTATACAGCGCGTTTCGACGGCGTTTACTATTAATTGCTACTATCGCTACGATTATTGTTCCGTTTTTCTTTATTTTCCTTTTTCTTTTCTTTTTTTAAGCATGTATCTGTTGCCGAGAACGAGTTTACGTAGCTTGTGTTCAACCGATTGTTTGCCACTGTGTATGGAATTGGCAGCTCACGTGCGTTACCGATGATTAACAGCGTGCCCAATGTGTAACGAGGGTGTTTGTCCGATGACGGTCCGTTTTACAAAAGAAAGAAAAAGAGAGAGAGAGAGAGAGAGAGAGAGAGAGAGAGAGAGAGTGAGTTACGTTTTGTTCGAAAGTCGAACGAAGGGGGACGGTGAGAAAGTAGAGACAGGAGTTTATCGAATTAATTAAGCAACGTGCAGCGGAGGAATAAAAAGACTATGAAACTTGGACTTATATCGGTGCACCTTTTTGTAAATAGGAAATTATTATTGTGGAGCGAGTGGAGAGAAGAGTACGCACACGGGAAACACGAAGAAAACAAAAGAAAGAAAGAGAGAAACGATAGAGAACGAACGGGTCGAGGGATAATGTGTCGGATAATGTCAGGGAGATTGTATCAGCTTCAAATTATATATACATATACATATATACATAAACTATATCAGTAATGGCGAATTAATAAGCTATATTCTTACCACTGTAGTTTTACCGTCGTCGCGACGCGAACCCGACGGCGACCGACGAATTTTTCTTACCAACGTGACCACGACGACGGTGGATAAAAGCGGATGTGTTCATCACGGCGAGATCGGACGAGAGCGAGAAAGAAAGAAAGAAAGAGAGAGAGAGCGAGAGACGAATCGCGAGATCGTAATTAGTAGTAAATAATTCAACGAGCCGATTTACATGGACGTGAAAATAGATACGGAATTGTCGATTTCGTACGCGTCCATGAACGCGCTAATGAACGGGTGGCGAAAGATGTCCGACGATTTTTTCTTTTTACGAGAAGAAACAACACGCTACACACATCTACCCCCCTGGTAAACGATCGTTCGCCCTTTGACCGTGCTTTCCTTTTTTGTTATCCGTTAGCGTTTTTCTTTCCACCTGTGAACACCCGTAAATCTAATGGACTATTAAAGACGAAGGCAAACAGAACAACAAGACAAAGTTTAATGTACATAGAAATTAAATTGTTTGACTACTACTTCCGATTGACTCTGTGTTTACGCGGGATTCAATGCTGGAAATCACGAGGAGAGCGGTTTGCATGTTGATAATGGGAAAATGGGACAAGAATAAGATAGACTGAATGAACAAAATGAGAACATACCACAGGACCACATTGAAATAAAAATAAGATTTCACGGGACAGACCACGAATCTGTTGTCGAATGATTTTATCAACAAATGCGCACCCCTCTCCCCTGCGCGGATAAATACGTTTTTATCGCGAGCTGTGATTCAAATCCCATCTTCGAACTAATCACTGGCTTGCAAACTATTATTTAACAACCAGTACATAAGTATGTGTAAAAGAGCCGTCTGATGAAGCTGTTTCAAACGGAAATGGAGAAGACCGCTGCAATTAGTCGTAGAATACAAATCCGATTCTCTTGTATACTTTTTAAGTTTGTTTACCGCGTTTTCAGCTTTTGAATTTTATCATCCTTGTTCCATGAAAAACCTGTATCCAAACATTTCACGTTGCATAAGAATACAGCGAAGAAGTCGAGAAACGGAGAAATCCCACAAATACTGTGAATTTCATATGTACGCAAGATTCAAGATGTAAGAAATGGATCACGTTGCAATGATCAGCACGTTCAGGAGAAAGGTATACTCTGAAGAAAGTTGGGAGCTTTCGTTATGCAAAACTAATAATTTAATATAAAAATATAAAAAAATTACTTTGGTGAAGTTACATTCAACAACGTTAATTACTTTTCGTTTGAACCATTGTCTCCGTTTCATTTTCTGTACTGCTTCGGGCCATTTTCATGATCGTATCGATATCGATCAGGTCTCTGTGTTTCTCTAACATCTCTATCAGGATTGGTTTCTCCATCAGCAAGTGATTGGAGGCAGCAATAAAATTGACAATAAGTTTTTTCATTATATTGACTTTATCTAATCTCTGGATCAGCTTCCTCTTGTTGCTGAAACAGATTGGATCATTAGAAAAACATTCATAATTTGCGAGATTTACTAAAACTGTTTGTACCGTGCAATTTCAGGGTTTGTCTCTTGCAACTTTTTATTCCACATTTCTTCTTGCACCTCCAGGAATTTTTTATGATCGTATAACATGTTTTGGCACTCTATCTTCAAATTTAATTGTTTCTCCATTGCTTCATCAATTTCTTTCTGTAATATCATCAACTCATCATTGATACTATATATTTTACGCATATAGTCATACATTTTTCTAAAATAAAATATTCTATCAGTTCAATATTAAATATTATCAAGATTTATGTTTCAATGGATTAAAGCATCGAGAGAATTACTTTTGCTTATCTGGATCACCTTGCCTGCCACTCAGAATATTTGTAATTGTATAAGAATGAAGGCATGACTTAGTTGCTAGGTTATTTAAAAGGCAGTTTGATGTTGCTTCGTGACACTTTGTTGGCGCGTCTTTCTCTACTACATCTTCCGATTCGACTATAACAATAGATAAGATTATCGTTCGAAGTTGAAATTATACTTCTTTTATACATATATTATCTATTTTTGTACATACGAAAATGATGATGTGCTTTAAGCATTAATATCCTGGCATTTAATTGAGTCAAAGTATTATACATTATTTTGATCTTGTCTTCATAAGGTTTGTAATCATCCAAGGAAATAGCTCCAAGACGAAAACTATTAACACTTTTACGCAGCTTTTCGATTGCATTTTCTAATTTTTCAGATTCTCCCATCTCTGCTGAACTTTGTTCATTTATAATCGTTTATAATTTACTTATGAGTAATCGTTATATTTTAATATTAATAAATTGCTCCACGTGCACGATAGAGGCACCTCTAATCACAAAATCAAGCGGCTCTATTCAGAAGTCTGTACCGCGCCAATTAGTACATGGCAAACTGCTGAAACTACTAGTTAAATGATATCGACGGCGCCGCTTACGGCAGAATTTTGAAGCTTCGTTCGGTATCCGTACTGCGACTGTCGGTAATTTGGCTAACTGTTTGAGCGTTTTGCCATTACACTAATTGGCGCTGTACGGACGTCAAAAAAAGCTTCTTGACCCCTCCACAAGAGGCGCCACTATTGCAAGAATCAAAAATTTAATTTGTATTCAAATTAAAAATGATATTTTAATACTTTCCGTTGAAATTTAACAAATATGCTGGACTTAAATTAAAGCTGGAAGAATACTTTTTATTATAGGTAGCTTGTGATTTGAAAATAATGTATAGAAGCGTATCGAAAATTTGGATTACATACTTGAGAGCGCATGTGTACTGGAAATTGATTACCAAAAAATGCCGGTGTATATTTAGAATCGGAGACGTAAAACATTTTTATTAGAATAAATCTCGGTAGATCTAAATAAATAAATCTGAATCTTTGATTTAAAATGAATTTCGAAAAATTTTGCAAATCTCTGCCGAAACTGGTACGTATATTGTCGCGTAAATTTTTACGTTATATAGAAAGGTTATGTCAGTGATTGCAAACAATGATTTTTCAACGATATTTGTTCACAGGAACTTCATGCTCATTTGAACGGCTCGCTAAGTTCAGAAACATTAAAAAAATTATATAAAATTCAGAACCCAAATTCAGAGGACGACGAGAATGTAGTCATGAATATCGGGAAGTATTCGTCATTAGGCGAGTACGCTAATCTTGTCATTTTAAGTTTTCATTTCATACATTACGAGATATTCGATTATTGCATTAATTAGTGTTTCCAGCTGAAGATGGCATAATCATTTTTCATAGGTGTTTCAAAGTATTTGACATAGCGCATTCATTGACGGTAACGCCAGAAGCAGTCTTCCAATCTACTTACGATGTAATTAAAGAATTTAAGGAAGACAATGTGATATATTTAGAACTTAGAAGCACCCCTCGAGCTGTTAATGGACAAATGACAAAGCGAGAATACATAGAAGCCATTATAAGAGCTTTTCAGTAGGCAGAATTTGAAAATAAAAATATCTTCCAACTGTAGACAGTTATGACAATTTATAAATCTTAATTCATTTACTTACAATTATAGGGTTTGTAAAACAGATTTATCAGAAATAATTGTGAAATTACTGGTATCTATTAATCGAAAACAAGGATACAAAGCAGCAGAGGAGAACATAGACTTGGCAATAGATTATTTTAAGAAGCATCCGCAGTACGTAGTAGGCCTAGATCTCAGTGGAGATCCAATGACCGGAGATGCATTTTTAGAATTATTAAAAAAAGCGAGAAATGCTGGCCTCAAGATTGCAGCTCATTGCGCAGAGGTAAAATTTATGCTGTGTTTTACTTAATAATAAGTCACTGAAATTGTTATTAAATATCTCCTTATTCTTATATAGATTTCAAATGAAGTAGAAGCAAGGGATATACTAGAATTCAAACCAGACAGACTGGGACACTGTACTTCCATTCATCCTAACTTACAAGGGTCTGAGAAATTATTCAAGACGCTTATTAATTCAAAGATTCCTGTTGGTACGAACTATTATTTTCTTCTCGAGACCACATTTTTCGAGATTTCAAGGTCACCGATGTTCTCTTTCATTTAAATAATGTATTCTAATTTTTGGCTTAGAACTGTGCCTAACATCGAACGTCCAATGTAAGACAGTACCCTCATACGAATCTCATCAGTTCAAATATTTGCACGAGGCTGGACATCCTATTTGCCTTGGTGTAAGTAAAGCCGTTAATATTCATCCAAACTATTATGTGCCAGTGCCTGGCAAACATTCAATTAAAAAGTCATCGCTTGCCTTTTTTTTTCTCAGACCGACGACAAAGGTGTTTTCCATACGACGTTGTCGAGGGAATACGAGATCGCCGGTTCAACGTTTGGTCTGGGTCAAGAGGATCTCGTGAGATTATGCTCGTCGTCCGTCGAGTACGCGTTCGCGCCGGACGAAGAAAAGAAAGCGTTGTTGTCTAGGATTGAGAACTTTAATCGTCAATTCAAAATGTTAACATTCTCCAATGAAACAAATAAATGAGTCGATATATAAAAATAAGAAAAATTTAGTCGATTACAAAAGCATTCGGCCGAGACGCCCGTGTCTTAGGGCGTCGCTCTAGATCCCGAGAGGGCACACAGAGAGAGTAGAGCTTCTCGGCGAGGTAGCAGGACTATAATCATATAAAAGTAATGTCGACTTTATTCGTTATGATATTCGTGGGCTCGTTTACATAGATTTACAGATAAACTATCTTGCTACTTATGGAGAACAATATAATAGCTGAATGTCGGTCGGTGTGATTCATTTTTTTGTTGTTGATGCTGCTGTCTTCGCTTGATAATATCATATATAATATATACAACATTTATAGAACTATTACAATATTATGCTTGTAAGTGTGTGGTGCCGCATCTTTCTTTCGGGCAGTCGACAGTTGGTAATGCTAAACGCGAAAGACCTCCTCGTTAACTCGTTTGTTTCGCCGGAATCACGAGAACCGAGAGTTTCTCGATATAATCTCGGTTACGTCTCCCGAACACGAGAACTGTCGCGGTCGTTTCTGGTGTCACGCGGCGACGACAGCATCACACTCTTTTCTCCCACTCTATCTATCTCTTGATCTCTTTCTCGATCGATAAAGATCAACTCGCACACGCGCGTCTTCGCCGTTTGTCACCGTTCGGGTTTAAAACCCTTTTTCGCTATCACGATATAACAAGATTATAATAGTAGTAGTATAGCTGTGATAATACTAATAGTAGAGTGATTAGGAATAATAGTAAATATAGTCATAATTATTCGATCGATGACAATAATATCGTTCTTAATAACCATGATAAGAAATTATTTCTACTATATGTATATAATATTCGTCCTATGTAACAGTCTTTTTGGTCTAACCATCGAGCTATGAACAATAACATAAATTCATTCTCTCTCCTTTGTCCGCGCCGACATCGACTTAAATCGATCTTTTTCACCTTTCTTTTTCGATTCTCTGTTACCGTCTCGTCTCCATTGTCTCGAGATCGGTGTCGATTTTGCGCACGCGCCCTCCCCTCTCTCTCTCTCTTTCTCACTCTCTCTCTCTCTTTCTCACTCTCTCTCTCTCTCTCTTTCTCGCTCGCTCTCTTTCTCTCTCTCTCTCTCTCTTTCTCTCTACCTGACATTCTTCAGACCTAGTCCCGTTCTATAGTCTCGTATAGCGTACTTAACTAATACCTTATCCTCACTTTAAAATCGGTTTATTCTAACGACTATGACTAAAAAAAAGGATGNCTCTCTCTCTCTCTCTTTCTCTCTCTCTCTCTCTCTCTTTCTCGCTCGCTCTCTTTCTCTCTCTCTCTCTCTCTTTCTCTCTACCTGACATTCTTCAGACCTAGTCCCGTTCTATAGTCTCGTATAGCGTACTTAACTAATACCTTATCCTCACTTTAAAATCGGTTTATTCTAACGACTATGACTAAAAAAAAGGATGTATTTAGAACCCTCGAATTTTTCAGCGTTCAGCAAACATGCATGACGCGATCCTGGTTCTCGAAGGTTCTTCACGCATACATACTAAACACTACGTAAGGGAAAACGCCTCGTATCGTCCTCTTAGATCTATAGATCGGTATTCCGCGGAACACCGCTTGTAATATCGACACTGGCCTAAGCTTCGACGTTGGTGACACCCGCCCTGTCGTTTCAAGAAAAAAAGAAAAAAAAAAGAGAACACGGCGAGAATCTTGTCGAAGAAGACGACGAACGATCGGCGACACAAGGCGTCTCGATCGAACGAAAGAGTAAATGCTTTCCGGATTTTCTAAAATGAAGGAGAACGTCGAAAAATAAAAGACTGGAAAATGAATGTAGAAGGAAGCAGAGAAGTGTTATCGTTCGATCGAGGACTGATTCGCCTCTAGTCCCACTTTTATAAACCACGCGTATACTGAATAGATAATAATAGATAGTAATAGATAATAATAGATAATAATAGATAATAATAGATAGTAATAGATAGTAAAAGAAAGTAAAAGAAAGTAAAAGAAAGTAAAAGAAAGTAAAAGAAAGTAAAAGATAGTAATAGATAGTAATAGATAGTAAAAGAAAGTAAAAGATAGTAATAGATAGTAAAAGATAGTAATAGATAGTAAAAGAAAGTAAAAGATAGTAATAGATAGTAAAAGAAAGTAAAAGATAGTAATAGATATCCATTAGATGTACTTATATGTATACACTTGCTCATTCGTCCGATCCAATCTCACTCTCCCACATTGCTAATAACCGCGGGTGATGCGATGAGAACAGTAGGTAAAAACCAATGTACAGATACTGATTAAAAATGCTATAAAATATCGGAAGAGGGCCGATTCCTCGGGATGAAAACCGACACAGACGTCACCGAGAAAGCAGGCCTCGAACTGTCGAGGGATCGGCGGCAATAAATAAGTTAAGATGTTTTGATTCGGCGATAGAGCGATTTAAAAAAATAAAGGAAAACGAAAAGAAAAGTAGAGAAATCGAAGAGGAAAGAAATGTGGACACTTGCGTTCCCGAGCATGCTCAGATGTGAATGTGTGTATGTGTGTATGGCGTACGATGTGCGTTGATTGTCGAGTTGGCCGAATGCTTCCGATCCATTGCTCTTTGTTTCTTTTTCTGTTCAATGACGGATATCTCGTCCGAGATAGGCTGCTGCGCTTCGACGAAACTTTACTTAAAAACTTTAAATACTTTAAACTTTACTATGCTTTTCAACGCCTTGGATTCCTCCCGCTCAAGGGACTTTCCCGGGAGTGTCGCCGACGTTCGTTCAGGTTTGAGTGTTTACAAAAAGAAAACAAAAAAAAAACAAAAAAAAAGAAACAAAGAGCAATGGCGATCACGACCGGAGATCAAGTGTCTTGATCGGAAGCATTCGGCCGACTCGTACAATCAAGACACATCGCACAACATACACACATACACTCATTCACGCCTGAGCGTGGTCGCTTACGCACGTGTCCACATTTTTTGAACAGAATTTCGGACTTGCGAATTACGCGGAAATTAGAAAGAACAGGTCGACCATTGTCGCTGTGTTGAACCGTTCGAGAAATCGTGATAAACGAAAATCTCTAAAACCTCCGAAAGACTAAATCTGATCCCTCGAAGACTTCTTCGATCGGCAGCGGCCTGGTTGACGGTTCTTTCCTCGTCGATGGAACCCGAAACGATTTGAAATGAATCTGAAATTGTTTTCATACAGTTGCGAACACCATAGTCATAAAATTTGAACGTTCTAGTCGCAAATACGAATGGATGAAGTATTGAAGGACATCGTGGGTAGGCTGCTCGTTGTTTCTGTGCTCGTTCACGAAACTATGCTGCGGGAAGCTTTTGCGGTGCTGTTGGTGGCCGCAGTGCTTCTGCTGTCTGTCTGGGCGAACAATACACCTTGGTACATTACGCCGTTCAGCTCCATGCTGACCACCAAGGAATTGTCACCGTTTCTTCCGTCACCTGTCAACCAAACGTTGCCATCGTTAGTAAAGCGATATGGAAAAGCTTTTCACCGAGCAATACGAACGTGTGTGCCTACCTCGATTGGAAATTTTAATGTGCGTGCCTTGGGCGGACTTATCTATGGCGATGTCGTCCTCTGCGAGCAGTCTCTTAGCCGGGGTAGGTCCGGACATCTCGTTTAATTCCGGGTCCTTTCTAACTTGCTGGCTGCTGCCCAATGCGGGCGAAGTTTGTCTTGCCTGTGACGGGGACACGGGCGACGATCTGGAACAACAGTTACGGATTATAAATGGCTATTAAAGGATCGGTCCTTGCACGGCGCAACCAGATGCAAAACGTAACACGTTCTCATCTAGATTTGCTATCGCCCAGATAACAAATTTGGAGCGGATGAGCAAGAAAGAGCTAAGGCGTGGTTACAATCGGGAAGCCAGTCGGTGTTCTCGAGTCTCGCCGATAGGTAATCTCTGCGTGGCAAAAGTCTCGGCCGCGGCACGATACAAAAGCGCTACCTGCAGACGCTTTCGCACTTTTCTACCACTTTCGCGGTTACTTACCTGAGCCCAAGGTCGAGGGCTTCCCTCTGTGGCTCCGGGCTGGATGCGGGCGGTAACGGTGAGTGCGACGCTTGCGGCGACAAGGACGGCTGATGTCCCACACCGGGATAGAGGGTGTTATTGTTGTTGTACATGTTCCACAGGGTGATGCGGGACATTTCCAGTGCGCTAAAAGTGCCATCCCTCGGAGGCGTGATCGGACGGGGTGACGCGCTCCCCTGCCGGGGGATTAAGGGGGGCGGAGTGCCCGCGCTAGCGCTTCTCAGCTCTTTGTTCAGCAGTTTCACGTATTCCACCATACGTGCCTCGAACTCGGAAGGTGCCATTCCGGGAATAGGCCCTGCCAGAGATCGATATCAATTAAAGCGTCCATTAACTGCCGCGGGGTACAGTCATTAATATCGAGATACTGTCGAGCCGGAGGCAGCCACCAAGGAAGCCGGAGGGTAGGTGTGTTCATTGGACGATCGATCAAACGGCGGTCCACGTCAATCGCGCGATCCCAGACGCCGTAGCCGTCGCCTTCGCCGTCGTCGCGACGGAACCGACGTCCACAACCAGTACTAAATTAAAACGGGGACGGCCGTTGATTGGCGTCGCAACGTCCTCGCAACGCAGGGGCAGGCCGGACCACGGAACGAGAGAGAGAGAGAGAGAAGTATCCAGAGGGAGGAACGTGTCGGTGAATCTACCGCTCGGACGGCTCGACAAATGAGCCATTCGAGCAGTGGCCTCGCTACCGTCCATCTCGAACACTCGCTTAGAGACTACCCTCGGGGAGAGTAGGACACAGCCAGGAAAGCGGCGAGAACTTTTTTACGAGGCATCGAGGCGAAACTCGACCAAGCGACGTGATGCCGTATTTTCGAATATGCTGCATTCGCGGAAACAGACGAGACCTGCGAGTCGTCAGGGATGCAATCGACGCTGAACCTAACATGTTGGTCGTTTCGACCGGTTTCGCATTTCCTACTTTGAGATTTCTGATTTGTTGACATTATATATATATATATATATATATATATATATATATATATATGCAATCTATATATATATATATATATATATATATATATATATGCAATCTATATATATATATATAGATATGTTTGCATTTCTCAATGCAAACATATGTTACGACAAAAATGGCGGAAAGTTTGAATCAATCTAGAGTGTTGATATTTTTATGGAACAATAGACGTCACAGTCACTTTTAGTGGTCGGTAGGTTTGGTGACAAGAAATTGAACACGGCGTTTGAACGCAACAGCGAGTGTTGAAAAGATGGTAAGCTGCTCAAGTTTGGAGGATTTCTCGGTGCCATCGGCATCGCGGCCACTGTGCCAGTGAATTGGACCCTAAAGTAGACTTTTATGTCTAAAGTTGGCCCAACTGGGACGACTTCTTAGGCAGTGAACGAGAGCTATAGGGCGCATGTTGGTACAGCAAGGTGTTTAAAGCTTGAAAGCTCCAATCACGAGCACTTCGTTTTTGCGAAAATTCAATTTGTTCGTGCGAAAATTATTTTGGAACGTGATACGGCAATTTCTTTGCGGTGCCTCGGAGTCACCACTCGCGAGCCAAATGATCGAACAAAACGCTGTCTCGGACTTCGTATTGTCGGTCCGAATAGAGAAGAGGGGCGGTAATGAAAAATTGATCTAACTTCGTAATTGCGGAGTAACGATCAACGTTGCGGTTCATCGGGGAGGAAACGAAGCAAGGGTATTCGACGCGAATCGCAGGGGCGGCGCTAGGCGACCGATTGAAATTGGTCGAACGTTAGAGGGTGGCGGAAACAGGGTGTAAAGCAGGGTGGAAAGGCGTTTGCCCGGATCGCAGGGGCGAGAAGGAGGAAGAAAGGGGTAGGGAAGTAGGAATGCTCGTTAGCGAGAGTCATCCGTTAACGCCTGTCTCCGGAGGATCGTACAATCAATTACGCTCCTCCTTCGCTCTCGCATCATCATCTCCGGGGAGGCCTGGAACCCTAACTACCGATTTAAAATAAACCCGCTCGTTCTCCGTTCCGTGTCCGCGAGTTATCTCTTTCCTCCCTCCGTTTGCTCTTTTTCGGTACGTTCCGTTCCGATTCCGCCGTTTCCGGCTTTTTTCGAGGAAAAAACATCGCGAGCACACCGGTGAAAGTAGATTAGGGCGTAATTGTTTCTTTGATGCCGGCTGTTCTTGGTGACTGACACGTGGGAACGGCTGATGGAAGGGTTCATTTATTTATGCTCGGTGTATCTCGATCGTTGGACTCCGAAGGATTTGCGGATTCTTTTGAAGCAAGGGTTTTTAATGCGTTTTGGCTACGTCATTTTTAGCGATCAAATGAATTATCGTGAATTGTCTTGAATTTTCTTCCGTCATTGAAATAATGATTTATTTAACAACGGGGATATTCCAAAAGTAATGGAATTCCCAGTTTTACCTTACCGGTAGGGTAAAAAGGGGTGACTATTTTAACCGTTCAAGTCCCGAGCAGCGCTATCGCGCTGTTCAGATCTTGTGTCGTGATCAAATTTTAGTGACGCACGTACATCGCATAGCTGCTTTTCTTCATTTTTTTTCTTTTTGTTTTATTTGTCAATCCTGGCGAGCGCTGTCGCGCCGCTTGGTTCTCTTCGCAATCAATTAAGACAAGCGCTATTACGCTGTTTGCCACTTTTCGACCGTGTTCTTTGAATAACCCCAGGAACACAAACGGTTAAGTCACGTACGGTAATGAGAAAACCTTTATGCTTTTTCTTATCATATTTACTTATACACTTATTCTAACTTATTATTCGCAAAAATCACATATAAAATTGTCATTCTCTTCTTCTGCATTTGTGCAATCTTCGTAAGCCCATCTTTTACAAGATAAGCACTGTATCCAGTTCTCTTTCGATTCCATATACAATTCTTCATATAAATACCCGGATCGTTAGTATTAGTTTTCAATAATTTTTGTTCATTTTTCTTGTTTCGTCTTCTTTTTTTGCTTTCATCACTCTCGTCTCCGGTGTAGCTTCAGAAACATTATATGCTTATATATCGATTCTCATAAGATATATACTTTATATATCTTATATCGATTCTCTTCTATTATTCTTCTTATTCTTTGAAATTAGTTCTACCGTTTCAGCTATGTGTCTTGTTCCGATCAGCTTTGCCCATCGGTGTTTTGTTGATATTTCAGTGACATCTGAATGTCAAAATGGAAAACGATCACTCTGTATATCCTTGTGAATACGTGTACGAGATACGGAGCAAAATGGGATATCCATTTTACTCTACATACAAGTACGTGTAATTTTTCCTAGAAATGTTCGGGGGTTGGTTTTTAAACCGGCAGATCTGAGAATACTAAGTCGCGATTCTTCGGCTCTCGTGGCTCGTTTTTGTAGAAACTCGGGGGAGTTGGCAAAAACAGGCAACGGCCAGTATGCCGATATTCATTAATATGAATACATAGCAATGCTAGAATAAAAACGTGCTAGAACAAAAATTATTCCTAATTTTTTGCTACAATTCAAAGGTTCGATTCACATAATATTCGATTATTATCATTATTATTATTATATAATACAGGGTTCCCGGAAAGAATCATCCGATTTCAAAAATTTATATTTTATAAAATTACACACAGAAAATTATAATTCAAACACGAATATAACGGGAAAATGTGTGAGTTTTTGTTTACAAGTGTTCAATATGACTTCCTTTCGTTACACGTATGATATCATTGCGATATGAAAGTTCTTGCCAAACACGGTGTAACGTATCTCTGGTAATTGTTTGTACAGCATCACAAATGCGTTTTTTCAGTTCATTTACACTTGTAGGTAAAGGTGGTACAAAGACAAGATCCTTCACAAATCCCCAAAGGAAGAAGTCGGGTGATCTCGGAAGCCAACTGTGTAGAACCATATTATCGGATGAACAGCGACCAATCTAACGGTTTGGTAGTTCCGTGTTAAGAAAATTCCGAACCTCCAAGTGCCGATGGGGCAAAAAGAAAACTCGCACATTTTCCCGTTATATTCGTGTTTGAATTATAATGTTCCGTGTGTAATTTTTTAAAATATAAATTTTTGAAATCGGATGATTCTTTCCGGGGAACCCTGTATATATTCGATTCGATTCACATAATGCGCGCTCAGATTGCGCACAAAAATGGACGATTTAGGAAGAGCAGAACGATTATTCGAGCCTTGTCAACAATTATAAAAACGAGACAGAAATTTCCTATTTTTCTGCGCAATCTGAGTGTAAATTAAAGAGAAATTACTGTACCTCATTGTTCCGCGGTTTTGCCTATCTGACTCGCACCTAAACAGAACACTTTGTGTTGTCTTGACGGCACACACTTCACTGACTCGACCTTTAGCATCGACGTAGCAATAACTTACATAGGCGTTAGATCGGCACACATTGGAAATTTTCTGCAACCCGAAATTTGGCATTCGCGGGAGAAACTACAGTATCCTGTTTCACCCGCACGCCTAAGATTTTGTGTTAAAGATAGTACAACTACAGTTCTACGTAACATAAATCAATGAATCAGAAGCCAAAATATTGTGGATAAATTCGGAAATGAAACGCTCTACTTACCATAATCGATTCTTTTTACACACACACACACAATTATCATAATCATTAGATCACACGCGTGATATGAATCTTCTAGCACTTCTCGAGACACGTTCAGACGAAAACTATTCATTGCATACCGCACCTCTTATTTCAGAGAATTAAACATATTCCGTTCGATCCGCCTACCCCGTTTTACCCCACCGACCCCTATATCGCACAAAACACGTTTTCGCCAAAACTGCATAAAACCCTCGCTCCCGTAGCGTCTGTGAATGTGTTTTTCGATGCCATACTTAACCAACCGGCATTCGACGATTGCCCCAGAGATCCCTGAGGGTGCTGAGGATGATGAGGATGGTGTGGCAATGGAGTATGCGCTGCGCTTCCGTTCACCAATGCCTGCTGTGCATGGTGTGGGCCGGCCGTTGCCACAGCAGTCACCAGAGACAGGGGCGACAATTGCGCATGCAACGCGAGCGTGTTAGGTGCATGCGGATTTCGCTGCACCAACTCGGCTGCACTGCTACCACCCCCATAAGCACCGTAGCTGCTACGTCTACCTTCTCGACGATTTCCGTCGATCGCTGCTTGCAATTCCGCTGGCGTTGATAGACGTCTCTTCTCGCACTCGTAGGGATACAGATACTTCATGTACCTAGAATAGGAGACCAAAGCTATTTATTTCCAGTTTACACACTGTCAAGTCCAGATTGTTTCTCAGACGAAGAGAAATTTTTTACTGAAAATTTTTGTATCAACTATAGAGAGGAGATATTCATTTTTTAAATAAAACTTCGTCGATATATTTTCATCGAAACAATCGTGCCTATTCTTCCAAATGTTTCCTGCCAGATTTTACGGTTTCATTGATTTCTGCCGCGTGTATGGCGGCATTGGACCGTTCAGGATTAAATTTGTTAATTAATTTAATAATTAATATTATGAATTAATACTTCATGTTTTGTAATTGAAAGCATTTTTTGGGGGAGGGAGAAGATCAACATTTGTTGGGAGGTTTTTTAAATAGTTTATTAATAACTTTTGAATGCATCTTTGAGGGATTACTTGCTCTCCATTATTATCGTCTGAATGCTTGTCTGGATGAATTCGTTGATGTGAAGATTTTATGAGCGTTATTTTGAATTTTCCTATCTTTTTATCCTGTAGACTGTCGGCGTAATCCACTGCAAATATAATATTTTTATCCGGAATATTTGTACATATATCCACTGCAATAGTTGCACTTTCAATAACTATAATTCAATACATATTTATTTGTCAGGTGGTATACATATGCTATACTATTAGTAACTATACTATTACTAATATATATACTATTTAGTATAGTGATTATACTATACTATTACTGACTAATAAACGTATATTTAAATTGTAACAATTCAGTTTACTTTGTCTTTCTGCTTTTCTCGCCATACCGGTTCAAACCAGACTTCGCTCTGCATCGATACACAATCTAACATCATTTATCCTCTCTGAGCACCACCTCTCTCAGCACCATCGACCTATGTGGATATCATAATTATTATTTAACAGAAACAACGTTTTAATAATATAAAAAAATCATTAAATTTTATAAAGATATTATAAACAGAAGGACCTGCCCGTAAAATAAATGTAGCATTATTACGTAATTGTCGACACTTCGTAATGAATGTGCAGAACGTATCAATTTATAGAAGTACCGGCTCAGTTCACATCTTACGTTTAATATAAATTATGTTTTAGTAGTTTTTTTTCATTTAAGTTGAAACTTAATTTAGTATAAACATATTCAAATTATTTTTCGCGTATTTCATACAAAATTGAAATCTTTAACGACAATTTTCAATTGGATAACTAAGGAGCTAAACAATATGAAATGCAAGTAGAGATTCATTTCAACTCGAGTTTCAGCTAATAATATAAAGATGAACGAAAAATCATTCATTATGTGTCATTAATTAGGACCCTTATACTGTTAGCTTTTATTATATTTTTTAACATCTTTGAACATATTCATTTTAACACGATTTTGACACAACAACCCGAAATTTGGCATTTCTGGGAGAAATTACTGTATATGCAAATATAATTTTTTCGAATTTTCAAGATTAAATCTGTACAAGTCCATTTCTAGGCCTACAACTGCGGAAATAAATAAATACGTACGCGCAAGAAAAGAATAGCGATGCCAACAATCTTAATGTAAACAGTTCCTACAAATAATTTATTGGTAAATGCTTACCTGACAGAGATACATGTAGATCGGCTATAAAACACGGAGCTGGAACGAGATACAACCAATGATGTACAAAAAAATCATTAGCAACACACGTTGAATGCTACGCCGGTTTTACAAAAATCGTCCGTGGCGCCACGATGAATTTTCTTTTATGCGATACATATAATGTTGAAATATTATCTGCAATAGACAAGTTACACTGTATAACCATGTTTGGCATGTTAATTGCGACAGGGGTCACTGTTTGAATTGACGATGGTAATAATACAAAATTTTAGATATTGATATATATATATTGTATATACTATATTATATTATATATATTATCGCCATATATTAGCGCCACCATCTATATTATATTATTATATATATACTTTATTATTATATAATTATTATATATATATTATTTTAGATATATTTCTATCAATTTGGGTGCGCCGGTCACTCCATGACGTCACCGCCAAGTTAAGTGCCGTTCAGCGGTGACCCCCGTGGCATTCAACGTGTTAATAACTACAAAAATATTGATGATACATAATTGAAAACAGTTTGAAGGTGTACCGTGTACTTACCTTAAAAAACTTAAAAAAATTAGTAAACGTGTTGAAAAAGGAACGCGTATCGCCAGTATTGTACATTTCCATTTTATGAACACATAAATGAGAAAAAGACATCCAACCGAGTCAAGAAACGACAGTTTCATGATTCGGGTAAAATTTTAAAAATCGACTTTCGATCGCACTTTCGGATCAAACTACTCCACCGCGCGCCGTCACATAGACATCTCGCCCGGTGTCGTCTCATCATCTCCGGAAGAAGATTCTCATTTCGCGCGCAGATCCGGCCGCGGTTTAGTCGCACCGGTGTTCCGAGTGCATGAATTTTTCCGAGCATCGTTGTGCAATCGTTGCACGAAGCGGCGATGTATGGGGTGTCCCATTGGTCGCGCAGAAAGCGGCTAATCGGTCGTGTTGATATTTCACGCTTTCTAAAGGAATATTGGCTCAACGAGTCGCGGACGCAAAGACTCGGATAAATTCCCGTTTTGTCGTTCGCTCTCGTTTCCTTTCGATCACAGAGTCCCCCGAACAAGACAGCGCGAGCTTTCACCGTTGATCGTTTCGTTTCTTGCCGTCGAGCCTCTAAACCGTATCCTTTTATCGAAGTGATTTCCGCCAGCATCGCGGGCAGCTTCGGTCTAGAGCCGCGACANACACAACAACCCGAAATTTGGCATTTCTGGGAGAAATTACTGTATATGCAAATATAATTTTTTCGAATTTTCAAGATTAAATCTGTACAAGTCCATTTCTAGGCCTACAACTGCGGAAATAAATAAATACGTACGCGCAAGAAAAGAATAGCGATGCCAACAATCTTAATGTAAACAGTTCCTACAAATAATTTATTGGTAAATGCTTACCTGACAGAGATACATGTAGATCGGCTATAAAACACGGAGCTGGAACGAGATACAACCAATGATGTACAAAAAAATCATTAGCAACACACGTTGAATGCTACGCCGGTTTTACAAAAATCGTCCGTGGCGCCACGATGAATTTTCTTTTATGCGATACATATAATGTTGAAATATTATCTGCAATAGACAAGTTACACTGTATAACCATGTTTGGCATGTTAATTGCGACAGGGGTCACTGTTTGAATTGACGATGGTAATAATACAAAATTTTAGATATTGATATATATATATTGTATATACTATATTATATTATATATATTATCGCCATATATTAGCGCCACCATCTATATTATATTATTATATATATACTTTATTATTATATAATTATTATATATATATTATTTTAGATATATTTCTATCAATTTGGGTGCGCCGGTCACTCCATGACGTCACCGCCAAGTTAAGTGCCGTTCAGCGGTGACCCCCGTGGCATTCAACGTGTTAATAACTACAAAAATATTGATGATACATAATTGAAAACAGTTTGAAGGTGTACCGTGTACTTACCTTAAAAAACTTAAAAAAATTAGTAAACGTGTTGAAAAAGGAACGCGTATCGCCAGTATTGTACATTTCCATTTTATGAACACATAAATGAGAAAAAGACATCCAACCGAGTCAAGAAACGACAGTTTCATGATTCGGGTAAAATTTTAAAAATCGACTTTCGATCGCACTTTCGGATCAAACTACTCCACCGCGCGCCGTCACATAGACATCTCGCCCGGTGTCGTCTCATCATCTCCGGAAGAAGATTCTCATTTCGCGCGCAGATCCGGCCGCGGTTTAGTCGCACCGGTGTTCCGAGTGCATGAATTTTTCCGAGCATCGTTGTGCAATCGTTGCACGAAGCGGCGATGTATGGGGTGTCCCATTGGTCGCGCAGAAAGCGGCTAATCGGTCGTGTTGATATTTCACGCTTTCTAAAGGAATATTGGCTCAACGAGTCGCGGACGCAAAGACTCGGATAAATTCCCGTTTTGTCGTTCGCTCTCGTTTCCTTTCGATCACAGAGTCCCCCGAACAAGACAGCGCGAGCTTTCACCGTTGATCGTTTCGTTTCTTGCCGTCGAGCCTCTAAACCGTATCCTTTTATCGAAGTGATTTCCGCCAGCATCGCGGGCAGCTTCGGTCTAGAGCCGCGACAAACCGACGCTGACTTTCGAATCGTAACCGGAAACGATCCATCGAAAGTCGTCTAGAATTTCGTCTCACCGCCTCGACGGCTATTGTACGCGGCGAGATCGAAAATCGAGACGGGGCTGCGAAACCATCGGAACACTCGTCGTGGATAACAAGATGTCACTTAGCCGCGTTCCACGAGCGCCCGTCTATAAAAGTGGCAATCTGCCCGAGCATATGCGGCAGTCCAATTATCACGGTCGCTCGGCTCCCTGACGAAGATAATTGCCGTAATAGCGCGGCCCCGGTAGGACCGCGCGAATTTCTCTAAAAGGCCTCGCGCACGCGTTAATAGAGACGTCGGGCACCGGGGGAACATTCACGGACGGCCATCTTGTCATAAATTCGTGGAGCCGCGGTCACGTGGAATCGGACACCGGATCAGAATTCGCTCGAATTTGTCCCGACGTCGGATCCGGGCGACCTGGCCCGAGAAAGTCCGACGAGACGGTAAACTATGTGGGAACAGGCGGCCGTTATTAATTGGAATCGCGTCTCGACGCGATCTCGCCGGGAATTGTTCGCCGGCCGGAGGAAGACGTCGCGGTTCGTCTGCCGCAAAATTGGCAAGGCAGATCTCCGAGTCGAGCCACTTAATTTAATGCCGCCAGCTTTGATGCTCCGCTCCGCGGCCCCTAATTGCACCTGCGCCACCATCTCCGGCTCCCCTGTCGCCGCCCCGTTGTTGCGCCCCGTGCCAGCGCGCCCCGCGTCCTCTCGCGCCCCTCGACGCATCGGAAATCGAT